TGTCCTATATTATAAGGACCCGGGCCGAAAGAATCACGTAATCAATATCCCCGTATTACAAGGGCTGATAACAAGTGTCCTGTATTATATTTCCCTTATCAATAAGGCATGCTGAATGAAGCTTGAACATATTACAAACTCCTTACCAAAGGAATAACAAAAAAAACATAATTCCTTTACTCAAGGGACGAGCTGAGTGAAGCTCGTAAAACCTAATTTCCTTACTAAAGGGACGAGCTGAGTGAAACTCGTAAAACATGATTACCTTATTAAAGGGACGAGCTAAGTGAAGCTCGTAACTAAAGGGACGAGCTGAGTGAAGTTCGTAAAACATGATTCCCTTACTAAAGGGACGGGCTAAGTGAAGCTCGTAAAACTTACTTCCCTTACTAAAGGGACGAGTTAAGTAAAGCTCATAAAATTTAATTCCCTTATTAAAGGAGTGATGAGTTGAATGAAGCTCGTACAATTTATTCCCTTACCAAGGGAAAATTACCCAGGGGTACTAAAAATAGTACCTAGGGGCAGAGCACCCAAGGGGAAGATTACCCAAGGGTACTAAAAATAGTACCCAGGGGCAGAGTAACCAAGGGAAGATTACCCAAGGGTATTAAAAATAGTACCCAGTGACAGAGTATCTAAGGGTACCAAAAATAGTATCCAGGAGCAGATTACCTAAGGGTACCAAAAATAGTACCCAGGGACAAAGTACCCAAGGGTACTAAAAATAGTACCTAGGGCTAGAATACCCAAGGGTACCAAAAATAGTATTCCCAGGGATCATTACCCAAGGGAAGAGTACCCAAGAAAAAAAAATAAAAAATAAATTCTTATTATTGTTCATATGAACAATACCCGCGTGAATAGTACCAATGGGGTACTGTTCCCAGGGCAAGAAAAAAAAAAAAAAAAAAAAAAAATTTCTTGTTACTGTTCATATGAATACTACCCGCAGGGTATTGTTCCTAGGGCAAGAAAGAAAAATAAAAAATAAAAATTTCTTATTACTGTTCATACGAACAGTACCCGCGGGTACTGTTCCAAGGGTAAGGGAAAAAAAAAAAAAAAAACAAGAGTTACTGTTCACATGAATAGTACCGCGGGAATAGTACCTGCGGGTACTGTTCCCCGGGCCAAAAAAAAAAAAAAAAAATTGACATTCACAAAGCTAGACGAGCAAGCTTGGGATGGGGGGCAACTGATAGGGAAAAATAACTTACCTTGACCAACCGCCAGACTTCTTCGACATATTTCATTACCAGAGATAAAGATTTTCCTCGGATAAGAATGATAACATTTCTTATCCAGGATAATAAATGATGATGTGGTTCAACGGGGTGAGGATAATCTTGGCACAATTTGAGGAAGTTAAATGAGTAAATCTTATCTCGACAAATCTGGCAACAATCGATCTCCTCTGATCTCGCACAAGCCGATCTCCCGCGGGATCAATCTGATTCCAATCGACAGCCATAAATAAGGTATCAGGCCGTTAAAGAAGGTACGAGAAAAAACCCCTAAACAGAATATACATAATTATTAAGTGATACGGTTACAAGTACTGACTTGATCGTCGAAGGGTCCTCGGCCGGCACCCTACCGGTGCCATTCGAGGTGACGTTCCTTTATTTTGCAGGTAAACGTTGTTGTTCCGAGTCGTGAAGATTTTCGCATCAACACTAATAATAATAAGGACAAAGTACAAAAAAACCCCTCGACTAATTCCAGTAAACCCCATTATCTATTTTGTCACCGAAGAACCCTTCTCAACTTGTAGCCTTTTTTCAATAAATCTCCCTTGTCTAATTTTTTACTAAAGAACCAACTCCAACTATCCAAATGCAGTAAAAGAGTTGATATTTGGACCGAAATGCCCTTTTATTTAAATCTTAATTCTCCCAAACTTCAACAATTTATATCTCACAAACCGTACATTTAAAAATTGTAAATAATATATGCTCGAAAAGCTTATGAAATAAGGATTCCAGAAATATAAGATTTATACAACAAACCTTCATTACCGGAGATAAATATGCAATCTAAAAATCCACACCAACAATTTTATTTTATTTTTAAAAAATAAAATACTCAACATATTTGCAAGAAAATTTTCAGAATTATTTATTTACATATGAAGCCAAATATATAAAAAATTTAGCCCCAACAGAGATTGATTTAATGAGATATTATATTTTGAGTCAAAATATTTTCATTCTTTTATAGACTCACCATTTGAAAATAAATAAAAATGAATATTCGATCTCTATTGGGGCTAATTTTTTTATATATTATGCTCCATATGAAAATGAATAATTCTGAAAATTTTCTTGCAAATAACCCGAGTATTTTATAAAAAAATAAAATAAAATAAGATTGTTACAGTAGAGTTTTAGATTGCATATTTCTCTCTAGTTATAAAGTTTTGTTTAACAAATCTTATATTTTCTGGAATTCTTATTTTATAAGCTTTATGTGCATATATTATTTGCAATATTTGGATGTACGGTTTGTAAGATATGAATTTTTGATATTCGGAAAAATTAAGATTTAAATAAAAAGGCATTTCGATCTAAATATCAACTCTTTTACTCCCCTTAGATAGTTGAGGAAGGTTCTTTGGTAAAAAATTAGACTATAAGGGTTTTATGTACTTTGCCCTAATAATAAACACTAATCAATTGACCCATTGAAATGTTGAGATGTTAGTTTAGTATATTAAAAATAATTAGAAGGTTAAATAAGTAATTTAACATTTCAATGGGTCAATTGATTAGTCAATTAATAAGTCAAAGGGTAATAAAATATTTTTACATTGTGTCAAAGATAATTTGGGGTGATTGTTCAATTTTGCAAACTTGGGGAGAGTTATTGTTCAAACAATGTCCAATTGGGTGTTTAGGATTGCTTCTTTACTACTAATAAGCATTTTCAATCTAAAAAATTGAGTTGGAATGTGTTTGTTGAACCAAAAGGTGCTTTTAGATTGTAGAGGTTACATCCAAAAAGTATGTTTAACTGAAACTGGAATTTTAACTTTTAAAATTGCGTTAGTGGTAGAGATTAATCTTTTTAGATAGCTAATTTGTTTTAGATAATGCAATCCCTCTTTATTTTTTATAAATACAATTTTGTCCCTTGTACAAATAAATAGCAAATTAATATCGTAGTCATTTTGAGACTTTGTTGGGCTGCCTTTCAATCTCGCGAATGCCACTATCACCACATTTGAAGTGTGCCGTTTTATTTAATGAAATGTTATCTATACTACAAAGCATTGTATTATTAAATTTTATTATTAGATAGCATATGAACGGATTTGATTTTTATATTACTAGAAGATCCCATATCAGGTACAAATTAATAATCATTAAAATATATTTAACTCATTTATATTTTAGTACTATATACAAATACTAAATGATAAACAAAATTTGTGATATTTAAAAAAAAAAAAAAATCAATACAAGTTGATCTTCATAAATTATTGAAATTAATGAAATTTTATAATATTTAATATTAGGAAATTAGCCCATGTTTATTAGTGTAGGGATAATATAGTAAAATTAGTAATAAAAGTGCTTTAAGCAATATTATTACCAAATGATTTTAAAAGTGATTCAAGTATAAAAAATGATTTATAAAATGTGTCACCAAATGCATAAGTGCATTTTAGTGACAACTTTATTACTAAAAGTCGTTATAACAATTCCAAACAGGTTCTAAGTTATAGTTAGGTGTGTTTAACCCAAACTTGAGATATGTGAGTGTAATTTTACCTATTTTTACTTCTCTTTTAAATATATTATTATATTATTGTTGAAAAAGTTAAGTTTTAAGATTGAAATTTATTTAAAATATATGAAGAGTATTGAATAGGTATTAAAAATTATTATTTTTATATTTAAAAAGTATTGGACATATAATATTCAAAGAATATGATAATATTACATCGCCATTGCAGGAGAATAAGTGATTCTCAGCTTACTAGCCAGGCATGGACCCAAATCTTGTTATTTTTTAGTGGAAAAATCTGCCACTGCATAGGCTTTTCCAAGTCCTCCGATCGACAGTCTTCACTCCATTGGCCCACTCTTCACGCGTTAACAACTCTCTCCCCCACCATGTATCAATCCGCAATTAATGTGGCCGCAAACGTTGATGGCTTCAGTACCATTTAGGGTTTTTTTTTATTTTTTATTTTTTATTTTTTATTATTTTTAATCTAACAATGTATGGTGGCAAAGTAAAAATTCAAGTCCCGTTCTATTAGTGTTTATGGAGTATAGAAATGTTTCTAAAAAAAAGGCAAAACTTTGTTGCTTTGGGTAAGAGTATTATGAACTATACTAACAAAACAATAAAAACAAAAATAAAACAAGAAATTATAAAATGACCTTTTTAACTTTGTTATTTTATTTTTCAAACATACAACACTTTATAACTTCATTAATATTTGGAACTATAAAATTGATCTATAAAAGTAATGAAAAATATTGATCATGATTATGAATAGTAAATTTATTACTTTTTCAGATTGAGGCAAAAGCACAAAATAACCATGATTATCAAACAGTTCCTTAATATATATGGAACTCTCTTCAACCAATTATAGTTTCTGAAGAATTATTTGAAAATCAAAGCAACACTTCGATTAATGGAAAAATATTTGGTCAGAATGAGAGTGATCTTCTGAATTTTAATTAACAAAACCTTAATTTTAATAACAACCTCAAGTATTAATAGGCCAAAACAAAGGAGGACAAGAATATATGAAATTATATGTAAAGATTTACATCGGAAATAGTTAAATATTAGGAAGGAGAAACTGTGAAAACAAACTAATGATATATATTTTTTTCAAATTCAAGGTATATAAGTAAGGACCTAAACCTGAAGTTTAATTTTGACCAAGTCAAATCTTCATGTGACCAAGTCAAAGTTTGTATTTACCGTAAATCATACTCTTATGTGACCACTACTTAAATGGCGCTAATGCACCCACTTCAATGCATCCCACCAAACCCTTTTTGTTTAAAACCCAACTTTTGAAATCTTTAATTCCATTCACATCTCTCCATTTTGTTGTGTCTTTCTGGGTTATAGTAAGTAATGAAGAACACCAGTAGGTCGACAATTCTACATTTTAACAACCTAGTGTACCTCATCTTCCTACTCACTACTTCACTCTTCCCCATTTTCTGCAACTCTTACGACCCTACTGAAAATATCACCCTTGCCTGCGGCTCCTCTGACAACACCCCCGCCCCAGACCACCGGGAATGGGTGGCCGACATTGTTCCCAATTATCTGTCCCTGGAACAAAAACACAACTCATCAATACCCTCTTCAGCACAAATACCGTCTCCCCAAGCTAGCTTTGTTCCCTACTTGAAAGCACGCATATCTCTCTCTGCTTTCACCTACGTATTTTCGGTCACTGCCGGCCAAAAGTTCATACGCTTGCACTTCCACCCTTCTCAATACCAAAACTTCGACCCCTCCAAAGCCTTCTTCTCCGTCAAAGCCAATCAATTCATTCTTCTCAACAACTTCAGTGCCTCTCTAACAGCTGCTTCTCTCGGCCCTGACTATCTATTTAAAGAGTTCTGCATAAACATAGAAGATGAAGATCAAACATTGAACCTCACCTTCACTCCGTCTTCAACTCCATCCGATGCACACGCTTTTATCAATGGAATTGAAATTGTCTCCATGCCTACCAATCTTTATTACACCCCGGCCGAGGCTCAATATGGTATTACTTTTATCGGCCATGAGCAAACCCCAATTCGTATTGAAAACAACACTGCTCTTGAGACCGTACGCCGATTAAATGTGGGTGGATCATATATTTCACCCGCGGACGACACGGGCATGTTCCGAAGCTGGAACGATGACAGGGGCTACGTTTCAAACATAGGGGCTCTTCCAGTTAACTACAGCTTTAATCCTATCTTCTCCTCCGGAGTACCCAATTACACTGCACCCGCTCAAGTATACAAGACCGCTCGGTCCATGGGAAACAACAAAACAGAGAACCAGAATTACAATCTCACTTGGAATTTGCCCGTGGATTCTGGTTTTACATACCTGGTCAGACTACACTTTTGTGAGTTTCAAGTTGAGGTCACAAAGCAAAGTGACAGGGAATTTACTATTTTCATAGCGGATAAGACGGCCGAGCGTCAAGCCGATGTGATTGTTTGGGCTGGAAGAAATCATGTCCCGGTTTACAGAGATTATGCAGTGATGATGGTGAGTCCCGATCAGAAGAAACAGAATCTGTCTATAGCTCTGCATCCTAATCCGGACTCACAGACAGTTTACTCTGATGCCATCTTGAATGGCATAGAGGTTTTCAAAATCAGTGACTATTCCGGCAATCTCGCCGGACCCAACCCTGACCCAGTTCCAACACCGTCTACTCCACAACCAGAGAAGAAGGAAAACCCAAGAAAGACACCATTCGCAGCCGTTGTCGGCGGTGTTCTTTCTGCCGTGGTTGCGCTCTCTATTCTTGGTTTCTTGATTTACCGGCGACGGAGAAGGGTTCAGGAATCAGGTTCAAGGAAGGGAGGATGGGGCTCGATCTCCTACGTCGCAACAAAACAGGACAAAATGGGTGGGCCACTTCTACCGTCTGATCTGTGTCGCCACTTTTCTTTTTCTGAGATCAAATCCGCGACTAACGACTTTGACAGTGTTTCCATCATCGGACGTGGTGGATTTGGCGACGTATACAAAGGGTATATAGATGGTGGGGCCACCCAAGTTGCAATAAAACGGTTGAAACAGGGGTCCCAACAAGGGGCCCATGAGTTCAAGACAGAGATCGAGATGCTCTCTCAGCTCCGTCATCTTCATCTCGTGTCTCTAATTGGGTATTGCAACGATGAAAGTGAGATGATACTCGTGTATGATTACATGTCCAATGGGACCCTTCGTGATCACCTCTATGGCTCTGATAATCCCCCACTCTCGTGGAAGCAACGGCTGGAGATCTGCATAGGGGCTGCGCGTGGTCTGCATTATCTCCATGCAGGTGCGAAGCACAGGGTCATTCACCGCGACGTGAAGACAACCAATATTTTATTGGATGACAAATGGGTGGCCAAAGTTTCAGATTTCGGATTATCCAAAATAAGCTCCACTGACGTCTCCAACGCTCACATCAGCACTGTGGTAAAGGGTAGTTTCGGGTATTTGGATCCCGAATACTATCGGCGTCAACAATTGACTGAAAAATCTGACGTGTACTCTTTTGGGGTAGTGTTGTTCGAGGTATTGTGTGCTAAATCACCGGTTAATAGGACGCTGCAAAGAGATCAAGTGAGCTTAGCTGTGTGGGCTCGCAAATGTTATCAGGACGGTACACTTGATCAGATCGTTGATCCACATCTGATGGAAAAAATCGAGCCGGAGTGTTTGAAGAGATTCGCAGAGATTGCGGTGAGGTGTTTGCATGATGAGGGAATCGAACGGCCATCAATGAACGATATAGTTTGGACCCTGGAGTTTGCGTTGCAGCTGCAAGTGAGTGAGGAGGAGAGACTCAAAATTGGTGGAGATGAAGTAAAATTTAATAAGATGGATCTCAACCGTCGTTTTGGACCTGTAGGCGGTGATGATGGACACATGTCAAGCAGTAGGGTGTCCATGACGAGTGATAGTGGGACGAGTTTTACGACTGATGGGTCTGACAAAATATCTTCAGGTGCTGTGTTTTCTGAGATCATGAATCCCAATGGGCGTTGAAATGTGTGGTTAAATTATTGGTCATGGGCATTGCAATGTAAGCTAATAGCTTTCGGTTAATCTCGCTAAGTCTAGTAGTTATAGTTTGTGATGATCATATGAATTACTGGTAATGTACTGAAATATAATAGGATACTTGATAATAGTGGAATTCCAAGTTATGTTATAAATTACTATAATTTAAGGGATTTGTTGGTCTCGTTATTTAATTGTCTCTTCTTTTTGTCAAAATCATCAAAATCCTGTCAATGTGATACCGAGTTGTTCTCCTCATAGGGGAGATGAAATTGAGTCCATGTTGGCAATAATGTGATTAAGTGACAAGTCTAAGGTGGATAATTTATAGTCATATATATCTCAGAAGAGTGATGATAAACAAACGGAATAATTCAGTTCATTAATTTATACTTGCTTTAGTGCCATTTGATGGTTTAAAGGTTTTGGCTGCATGTTCTATATCAATTTGTTTTAACAAATGATGATGCAGAGGAATGGTTACGAAAGAGGGGATATATGATAACTAACCCATTAAAAGGGGCACATGAACCAGTACAATCGGCCCGAGCAAAGGGAGACAGCCCAAAGAGACCCAACTTAAACCTCTAAAGCTTAAGCCCAAAGCCTGAGCCTATCTGAAGCCCAATTAAGAAATACCAAAAAAACACAACAGTAATAATAGAAAAAAAAAACTGTAACGCAGACCATAGATAATTTTGTAACATTAAGGGTAAGTCTGTTAAAGGATTAGATTCAAATTAAATCAAATCAAGCATAATTTATATTCGGATTTGTTTAGTTAATAATCACCTGATATTTAAAAAATAACTAAAACCATTACAAGAAAAATTCCACTACAATTGAGTCTCACTACATAAAATCTCTTTAAACAGATGCAAATAGAGAACTAAAATGTATACTATCACGAGCTCCGAACATAGCTTGCATCAGTATGTCACCTAGCAACAAAACTCAAAACATTTGAAATGTAGGAAAAAAAATAACTTGGTTACCTACAAATTTTTTGACCTAGAACAAGAATTTTCCAAAACCGTGGCTCAATTCAAGAGTTCTCAAAATCAAAATCCTAGGGTTCTATACTCAACCCATTCCCTCTCGAAATCCACCTTCACAAACTTCAAATATATTAACATAATTAATCACGTTATACGTGCAATACAACACTAAATTCATCATATAATGCCACCAAAACATACCAATTATTGAAGGAAAAATGGAATACCAATTATCAACATGTGATTTTACAAAGAAACACATCTCCTCTTTCTAAGCGTGGATGACTCGTTGCAATTATATTGATCAGGAGATACTGTTTTCCCCTTTTCTTGTTTTTTCTTTTTTATTATTATTTAATTTACTAGTTAAGAACATAGACGCAACAGTCACTCACAGTAGGGGTCATCAAAGAGACCAACTTGCAAATAAAAAACTAAAGTTCGACAGTGCTGCCCAAGACTAGCTATTATGGTCTTCCTAATCTTTTTCTTTTTGGTGAAAAGGCCCACCCTCTCAATTGTGTTTGTAGTTCCAAATCAGAAAACCAGTTATGATGAAATCGGGTTCTCAAATTGTACTTAGAGGAGAACTAGTTTAATTTTTAATCAACAAAATGACACAATTACTCAAATTGGTTTCTATGAAATTTTGAACACTTTAAAAAGATTGAAAAGATATTCCAAGATTACAATATCTGTAAAATATTTTTACATGTTATCTAGTGTTATCTTCTTCGTCTGTCTTAATATTTCATGAAAACATTGTTTTTCATATTTTTCTTTCGAGTTACAGAATTAACATAACTTATACGTCCTAATATTTTATGAAAATATTGTTTTTCATATTTTTCTTTTGAGCTACACAGAACAAAAAAAAACACGGTCACACCCTGCCCCCACTCAAATCATTTGTCACCTTTTTAAATTTTTTTTTTTTTTTTTTTCAAAGGCAAGAAAGAGTCACCTTTTGAATGGAAAAGCTCATTTGGACAAATGTATGACCCGTAGTAGTTATTCAAAGTTCATGTCAAAATTCATTTCGATCCATCCACGTAGGCCTCAGTTTCCCATCATCGACCCCACTACATGTCAAAATTCATTTCAATTGCCTCTTGTACTACATACCAAAGAAAAATAAGTGTGATGCAACTTGTCATGTAGTGGGGTCGATGATGGGAAACTAAGGCCTACGTGGATGGATCGAAATGAATTTTGACATGAACTTTGAATAACTACTACGAATTTGCGTTACAACTGTTGTAGCCCGCGAGATATATACATTATACCCCTTAAATATGGTTTAGGATTTCAATCAAATAAATTTTATGTAAAGATGAATGAGTTTTACCTCTTTGTATTTTGCATATTTAATTAATCAACAATCTTTCACGGGGTTAAAAAATTTAGTTTTAAAATATATTTTCTATATTATTTGGATAATTTATATTTTTATAATTTTCAAAGCAGTTGCATGGACAGATACAAATTTATTGATAAATTTTACATTACTTCGTCTACTAGATTTTTTTATAGTATAATTATTCAGAGAATAAGATAAAACTATGGTATATGGTAATTATCATAAAAAATAATGATAGGAATTTTTTTGGGAGAGGAGTATCTAAATTATAAAGTATGATTTGTAATTGCGGTTGCGGCGTAACAAATTTAATAAAATATCAATATAAATCGACCGATTCATAAAAAGGTGTAATTATATCAAGCTTTTAAAAAGGATTATAAAACTAGTTATTTCATTTCAAATAAAATCTCATTCAAGTATCAACTAATGAAAGAGGATTGATATTAGACAATTTGCTCTTTCTCTCTTCTTCTTTTTTCACCAATAAGAAGTTTCGGATTCAATTCAAATATCAAGAGGATTAGCGTATATAATACGGAGTATAAAATTTCTACGCCGATTCTTTCTTGGTGTGCCTTTCAGTCTGTCATTATAGCTCGAGAAGTAAAACTTGTGATAATATAAGAATATATTATGTGGTGGACAACATAAAGCCGCCAAAGACTTAGAATGCATGGTCTTCCTAGACTTTTCCAAGTCGTCCGGGTCTTTTGTTCCCCACCATCTTAACAACTTTCTCTCCAAAGCATGCTCTGTTCTTTGTTTTGTTGGCCCGCGGTGAAGATATTTGGGGTACAGAGTTTTGTTGGGTATTCAAACATGGATGTTACTTTTGGTTTTTTCCGTCATGGGGTTCAGTTTTAGCAGTCCGTGGCCTGGCAGGTGGTTCGGCTCCTTTCACCGGCGGCGTGCTCATGGGGTTTGTTGGTTTGTGCTTGTCGATGGCTTGGTGATGGAGATGCCATGACGTCATGGCTGATGTCATGTACCTTTTCTCTAAAAGTTTTTGCTTTTTCATGGGCCATGGTCACGAGTGTTGTTGGGCTGTGTCTGGCGCGGTGTATTTTGACAAGCACTTTTTTAAGTGCTTTGGTGGGTCCAAAATCTGACTATTGACTTTACAACGTTTTGCTTGGGGTACTGACATTCCCATTCACTTATTGTTAGTGGTTTTTGTATGAATGCTGATGTTTGATCTTTGATTTGCCTGTAGATGCCGTATGGCTTTTATTACCGGGCTAAAAAAAAAAAATTCGTGAATAAAGTGGCAGTAAATAGGGGTAATTAAATAATCCGTTAATCCGTCAAATCGATTCGAACCAATCCGATCCGTATGGTTCAGTTCGGTTTTTTGATCTAATGGTTCGGTGATGATTTGAAAAATTAATAATCCATAATGAGCGGTTCGGTTAATGGATTGAATCCTGAAAAAACTGAATCGATCTGTTAACCGAACCGATCCGATCCGTGAATTATTATTATTATTATTATTATATATATATAATTATATATGTATACTGTAATATATTATTTCTATTTATTTATTTTTTATTCATTATTTGTTTTAAAAATTCAGCTATCTAACCCTAGGTTTCCTTAATTGTGCCACCTCCTGGTCTATCTCTCGACTCTCTCTTCCTCCGTTCCTCATCTCCAAAAGTAACCATAACTTCTGAAATCTTGCAAATCTCCATCACTCATCATAAGGTACATAATCTCTCTATACTTTCTCTCTCCATCACTCATCTCTTTCTAAAAGTGATACGGGTACACAATAAAATAAAAACAGAGAAAGAATTGCAAACCCTAGAACTAGAAATTACCAGAAACAGAGGAAAGGGTTTTGCAGATAAAAAAATGAAGACTCTCTGATACATATTATATGTATTGTTCTTGTTTCTCCGGAATCTTTTGAGCTGATAAAGGTTTGGATTTTTTGTTTATTTATTTTTTCAATATTGTAATTTGTTGTAATCTGATCTGAGTTCTATGATTCAAATAAATGAGCTTTCATTGTGCATTTTTTTTTTTTTTGTGTATCTGTTGTAATTTGTTTCTGAACTGAAATGTGATGCGATGACCATTCATTTGGCTTTTGTAGTTGAATGCTTAGATCTGATTTACTTCTATTACATGTTCGAATTGGTGTGTATGACCAATTTCTATGTTTTTTTGTGTTTTGTTCTTTGTTGTTCTTGTTCTTCATGATCTATTGTCTGACTGTTTTTGATAAGCCCAATCTATGGAACCGAACCGAACTAATCCGTTATTCCACGGATCGGTTTGGTTCAGATTGAGAGTTACCACGGATCGGTTCGGTTTCAGATTTAGTCAATCCGTGAGGACCGGATTGGTTTGAATCTTACCCCAAACCGAACTGATTCGAACCGTGATCAGCCCTAGCAGCAAATTTTGTTACCTTCAGTACCATTTATTATTTATTTATCAAACTCTCATCTACCAATTACAGTCTCCCGACAATTATGCGAAAAATCAAGCAAAACTTTGATTTACAGGAAAATATTACGCTAGAACAAGAGTAATTTTGAAATTTGAATGAACAAAACCTTTGTTTTAATAACAAACTCAAGTATTCGTTTTTTGGTCCAACAAGTGTGTATAAATTTCTGTGAAAACTTTTAAATATGAAATGGTTAAATGTAGGAAGGAAAAACCGTTCAGAAAACAAAGAACAACTTATCATAGTTTATTTCAAATTCAAGTATCATCTAAAACCTCCACCATGTAATTACCAAAAGAAAAAACTCGAGTCTCTAATTAATTAAATTCAGCTTGAACTGTAATTTTGACCGAGTCACATGTCAAAT